TTTTTAGTTGTCCAATTAATTTCTTTCTATTTTTAGTAGAGACGGGGTCTCGCTCTTGCTCAGGCTGGTTTAACTCCTGAGCTCAAACAATCCGCCCGCCTTGGCCTCCCAGAGAGCTAGGATTACAGGCGTGAGCCACCGCGCCCGGCCGGAAGATCTAATATTCTTAAGATGTCGCTACTTCCCAAATTGATCTACAGATTAAAAGCAATCTCAGTCAAATCCTAGCGGGCTTTTTGGTAAACAAATGACAAGCTGAATTAAAAATTTATGTGAAAATGTACAGGTTATTAACTACCCAAAGGTTTTGGAAATGAAGAACAAAGTTGAAGAGCTTACGGGACCTGATTTTATGCCTTGTTACAAAGCTACTTTAGTCAGGATGGTGTGGTGTTAGCATAAGGGTAGACAGGTAGACCAATGAAACAGAGTATAAGTCCAGAAAGGCATGAACATATATGTGATCAATTGATTTTGACAAAGGAATCAAAGTAATTGAATGGAGGAGAGAATAGTCTTTTCAACAAATGGTGTTGAAAAAATTGGGTATCCACAAAAAGTAAACTTCAACCATTACCTCACACCATATACAAAAATTAATATTCAAAATGGAACTGGACCTAAATTTAAGAGCTAAAACTATAAAACTTATTGAAGAAAATGACGGCAAGAAATCTTTGGACCTTGACTTAGGCAGATATATATTTCTTGGATAGAGCATAAAAAGCATGAACCATAAAAGAAAAAGATAATAAACTAGTGTATATGAAAATTAAATGAAGACACTAAGTGAAAAGCAAGCTATATTCTGGGAGAAATAAAGTTACAGAACGCATATGTTAAAGAACTTGCATCCAGGATATATAAAATATTCTTAGAACTCATTATTAAGAAAACAACCCAAAATAAAATAGGCAAAAGATTTGTAAACACTTCACAAAAGATGTATGAATGGCAACTAAAGAAATAAAACAATTCTTAACATCATCAGGCATTAAAGAAATTTAATTAGTTTAATTAGTTTCTTATTTCCTTATACTTTGCAGATATATTTCATTGTTTAGTTATGAGGTTATAGCTGTTTCCTGGTTTTATTATAGAATTTTGTTCTTTTTTTCCTTTTTTTTTTTTTTTTTGCAGTTATCACCAATTCGGCTCCATAAATGTGTACTTACTTCATCATGTTTCCCACAAGTAAAATGTAAGATACTGATCGTAACTGCAATCACACTACAGTGATACTTCTATATTATTTTGTAATATAATATTGGATTTTGAAATACCCAATTGCACAGTTCTACCAAAATACTACCAAAATAAATATCTCTACAAAAATATTATCAGATGAAAAATGTGATTAACTCACCCTACAACCAGTGGTGATGCTGTGGCCCCAGGTATTGGGTGCACATTTAGAACACTTCTCCCCAATGGTATTGGGAGGGCAGATGCATTGACCAGTCTTCGGGTCACAGTTATTACCCAGATGGGAACATTCACAAGCTTCACAAGTGAAAGAGGAGAAACAAAGAACACACACAAAAAAGGTAAAAATTAGATATAAAATGTTGATTTGTCTTGTATTCTTTTCCATACCGTGTTTAAGGATTCTTGGAAATAAAAACTTACTCATTCATCTTTTATATCATAGTATAGCGTATTTCAGAAAGGAATTGTCCAATAAATATATGTTGTATTTCATATAATAATATCAAAATTTATCAAAATAATCAAAATAATATCAAAAGTTAAGGCATTTTTGGCTTTACTATTAAGTTTAAGGAAGGAATGAACTGGTGTTATCAGATTCTATGTTAACTGCAATACCTTATATACAGGTACTATAAAATTTAAAATTTTTCTATGCTGTATAAATTATTTTTTACTTCCTGTTGATGATGCTGATTTGCAATAAATACCAATAAGCTTAATAAGTTCTTGAATTCAGTACACGACTTATACAGTTATAAATGGCACACATCAGGATCTTCCAGTTTTGCAAATATTTAAAAATAGTTGAGTTATGGACACTGTCGAAATATTAGGATACTTTCATTTTTATTTTAAAATCTATTTATTTTAAATCTATTTTTAAAAATAGATTTTTCATTTTCCTTGCTATGATGCAATATATATATAGAAAGAGTACAAATTCCCTATATTGCACTTTTTCAAAGAATACAAAAGTTTGAGAAGAACTTCAAAGCCATCCAAGATAAGGAATGTATGCCATATATAAGTGATGGTTGACTCAGCTACTGAGTGTATTTTAATGCAACATTTCATATCAAAGAAATGAGAGAGAAGAAACAGCAAATACTTGAATTCAAATGAAAGACTACTGTTATAAGAAAGTTTTAATTGCTTAAATGATGCTTAAATCATTTTAACTGAACATATTTAGAATACTTGATTAAGTTTACTTTTTATGAGATCACAATTAACATTGCTCACAGCATTCTATACCAGCTGTGAAAAATGTTCAGCAAAATACTTGACATATAGCAAACACTAAATAAATGTTAGTTTTTGTTATTATTATTGTTCTTGCTAATTTTAAGCCAAAGCATTTATTTTATATGTGCCATTCATTAAGAAGAAAAATAGTTAACGTTATGTTTAAATTTATGTGCCAAAAATGTCTTGGGACAGTTCAAATCATTACTTGCAAATAGAAATTCTCTAAGCAGTTCCTTTGTGGAATCGTAACAATGAATAGGAAGAAGACCTGATAATTAGCTCATTTTCTTCTGCCATAGCACAATGTTTACCACAATTAATAATAATAAAGAGAATTATAATAATGACAAACACTTACATAACACTTATGTGCCAGGCATCGCTCTAAATATTTTACAGCCATTAACTCAATGAATTGTTATAAAAACCCCATGGGGTAGGTACCATTATTATCTTAGTTTAATAGATGAACTGTGCAGAGGAAAAGTGAGGTCAAATCACTCAGTCAAGGTCACAAAACTTGATTCGATGGAGCCACTAGACAAATCCAGGTTGTTTGGTGAAAGTCATGCTGTCAACCATAATGCTATCCTGCCCGTTTTGTGCTTTTTTCCCCTATTCTGTTTCTCTGGGTTAGAATGCTACTAGGTCTACATTTCTAAAATGTTATCACCATTTCATAATTTTGAATAATATCCTTGGTTACATTTATAATTTCTATTAGTAGATATATTTGACTATATAGTACAATCTCATTAATTCATACTAAGTAAAAATGTGAGTATTGGATTTGAATAACAGAGTATATTTTAACATGCAACTTTCCACTGCTTCTCACATAAATTTGCTGTAATAGTGAATAATAATGTTTTAAAATTTTACCATGATGCTTTAGAGTGTAGGTGTTTCATCAAGGTTGAATCAATGAGTTTAGAAAGTAAAGGTAATATTCAACCTGGTGATGGTTAGAATAAGGATAATTCTAAATTACTGGCATATAAATCAAGGGTAATATTCAATCTCTACTTTTGTCTGTAGTGTGCTAATTGGCATTTTCGTAGTTCGTGATTTGTATGAAGTCTGTGGCTGGATTCATAAGAATACTATTAATACTTCAAGGAATCATGGTTAGATTTTCCAATGAACTAAATATTTAGAGCCAACCTGTTTCTCAGAACATCACAATTTTCAAGGCAGCTGCTAATAGATGGAAACACATTTTTTGTACCAGAAAAAATATTAACTTCCTGATCCTTACGCCAATATTGCAACAGAAAAAGGAAAAGTTGAAATGCTTTGGCTTGGGAGTAGAGTTTAAACTAAGATAACATTGGCACCAGAAAAAATTGAACATTTTACTTTCAAGCTACAGCAGTCATTGAGTGACTGGCTAAATAGAGGTCACAGAAGGGGAGGGACACAACAGAACTGGTATTGGCTGATTTTTATGGAAGACTTGCAAGCAAAGTTATTTATAGGGCAGTGTTTCAAACTGCAATGCATTTCATTTGTGAAATAATATAAAATAAGTGTATATTACTCATTAGGTTAAATATTTTGTATCATATATTGGTTGTCAGTGTGCACCCCTTTTAACAAAACAAACTGTTACAGAAACTAAGACACCAAAACCAGAGAATGAATATGTAGGACGTAAGTCTTTTTTTACAGACCTGTGCAGCCACCTTCTTGGAAGTTGAAATAGCCATGGGCACAGCGGTCACATTTCTTCCCTGTGACTCCAGGCTGGCACCAACATTGTCCATTCTCTTCACAGTCGAATGACTTAGACCCAAAAGAATTGCAGTTACAGGGAACGCACCCCCTTGCTGATTGCAGTCCAAAGGTTTCAGGCTGGCATAGAACAGGAATGAGAAAAAATGAAATTTAAGTCAATTAACTCACAGTGAAACAAGATGCACAATACCAAGAGAATAAGCAGGAAAAGAGGAACCTATGAGCTGATGTTCAGATAACTGGGTTGTCATTTAAGTAAATGGACCTTTTCTATGATATCCAAAGAGAAAAGTTCAATTATTCTGGAATTTCATCAAAAATTAATGGCAGAATTCGGTACCATTTTTTCCATTATATTTTCACCAGCCTATCCCTGTACTTCCCAAGGTTATAACAGTAATGTGGAAATAAGCTATGGGTGGTATTTCTAGTTTTAATTTAAAATTTTACTTGCTTTATTCCTAATAATCTGAATTGATTACTTTTGGGTCTCATGAACTTCTACTTGGTAAAAATGCTTTCAACATCATTTACCAGCAGCCTAAATTTAAAATAATCTTTTTCCTTTATTGTTTGATCTAATTTTTTTATATATTCATAAATACTTCTTATCATCACTATAGTGTTCATATTATAAATATAATTTACAGATTATGTGTACATTTGACCAAATAATTGGTTCAACAAAGATCTGGTTTCTTGGGTTTCATTATAACAATCGAAACTGATTTGTGAGAACACTTATTAAAAATTAAGTAAGTTAAAGGGAACTTTCATTTTCTGATGAGTTATTCATATGCATATTGCTTATCTATTTGTTACAAATCATCTTCGATGGTCAAGTTTGCATTACTGGCTTTGGCTGACTTTCTTGAAATGCATGTTATCAGGCCTAGAGTGACTAGGTTAGAAAATGCTGATAGATTAAGAAAATCACTCCTAGTAAAAAAAAATGAAAAGCACATATCCTACTTAAATCACTTCAGCATTGTTTTTTTAAATATAAAGTATGTCACATTATTACGATATTTTAATCTGGAAAATTAGTCTCAGTAATTACTTCTTTGTAAAAGTAATTCTTATTTTGGAAAATTAGACTTAATAATTGCTTCCTGGTAAAAATAAATCTTGCCACTTAATGTGAGCCACCCAAAGAGAAATGAATAAGCCTTATTATATGTTTTAGCTAAATTATTGTTAGCAGTTAGAAGATTTAAAAATAAGTTCTAGAAAACAAAATCGCACAGAAAATTAGACTTTTAAAATGTAGCTAAGAATAGTTTTATTTTTTAAATGTAAAATGGGTTGATTAAGTGTGGTAAGAATTTTAATTTTTATGTTTACTGCTAGCTTTATTTATTTATTTTTTTTTTGAGACAGAGTCTCAGTCTCTTGCCTGGGGCGAGTGCCGTGGCGTCAGCCTAGCTCACAGCAACCTCAAACTCCTGGGCTCAAGCAATCCTACTGCCTCAGCCTCCCGAGTAGCTGGGGCTACAGGCATGCGCCACCATGCCCGGCTAATTTTTTCTATATATATTTTTAGCTGTCCAATTAATTTCTTTCTATTTTTGGTAGAGTCGGGGTCTCGCTCTTGCTTAGGCTGGTCTCGAACTCCTGAGCTCAGAACGATCTGCCCGCCTCAGCCTCCCAGAGAGCTAGGATTACAGGCGTGAGCCACCGCGCCCAGCCTGCTAGCTTTATTTTTATTTCTAGTTCTAATTCAGATTTCCTTATATGATTAAAGAAGAAAGTGCATAACATTTCCAGCAAATGACATGATTTTGAAATTAAATTCACCTATATAAAGAAAAACTAAAACATATAATATTTTTATTCAAAATGGTAATTTCACTGTAAAATTCTAGATACCTTGCCTAGAGAAATAATCAGAAATTGGGACAATGATTAAAGAGAAAGCATGCCCATTACAATGTTATTTATCATAATGAATACCTATAGAGGCACTTAAATGTTCAACGCTGGAGAAATAGTTGAATATAAATTATGCTAAATTCACAGTACAAAATGATAGGCAATAATTAAAATCCATTTTTGAAGTACTTTTAATGATATGAACATGCTTAGGATATAGCATTAAATAAAAGTTTAAAAAAGCAGAATATAAAAAATACTCTGATTCCAATTACACACCTATAATGACATATATACCACGCAGACACATACAAATGGAAACACAAGTACATACACAAAAGACTAAAACATATTAAAACTTTTTAAAAATATCTGAATTATAGAACTAATACTTGCATTCATCTTAATTTCTGAAATTTTCTTCACTATACACACACACACACAGACACACACACACACTCTCTCACCCTTTAATGAGTGAATCAATCAATATCAAATGAAATTCCAATTCATAGTTATCATTTAAACATTCCAAAGTTGGAATGTTTAAGGAATATGCATAAGGAATATGCAAGAAGAAAGGTATCTACCACACTTTTCAAATACTTAAATAATATAGTTTTAAAGGCTAAGTTATAGCAAAATAAATACTACTGAATTTCATTAATAAATTGTTAATAAATTTAGTGTTCAAAAATTTATTTCAAAGGCTAAGGAAAACTCCACTAGTAAACAAACTTCAGGAGCAAATGTTCCTTGTCAGTAATTGAGATTAATGACATAAAGCACATATGGAAGAGAATGCCTGTCCAGACTCAGTAAGAAGTTGGATGGACTCCCCGAAATTCTTTCCTCGGGTAAAGATAAAAATTAGCACTTTCATATTGTGTTTCCTTTGTGCCAAGTACTGTTCTAAAATACTGTACAAGTATGAATTTATTTATTCTTCAGGACAACCCTGGCAGACAGTTGTTATTTTCATCACTTTTTTATAGAGTGGTGAAACTAAGGCACAGAAAGGTTAAGTAAGTTGCCTAAGGTCATCAGCTAGCAAACTGTGGGGCAGTGTTCCAAACCAGCCAGCCTGGCCTCAGAGTCTGCGCTCTTAACTCTCACACACAGGGCCCCAGAGGAAAAGTAGTCTCAGGATAAAATACTCTTTATCCAACAGTACTGTAAGATATGTAGGAAAAGGGCATGAATGAGTGCTGATTTTCTGCTGAATTTATATTTTGGAGACATTTTGATGAGTTAATATCCCTTTCTTTTATTTTAAATTTATGTATTTGTTTTTGAAAAACAAAATTTAAAGATTTCTTCATTTCATAGCAATAGTAATAATATATTTATTACTATTTATAACAATAAATGTTACAATAGTAACATTTATTAAGAACTCTCCATGTTTCTGCCTTATGTGCTGTTCTCACTTCTACCCTGAAACAGCCTTGGAGGTGCATTCTCAGATTACCTGTAAGAGAACCCATGGTGTCAAATGTTGATGACTGACAACCTACAGTTTTCAACCTTTGGATCTACCAGAGTTCTTCAATGGACTGAATGTTTATATCCCCCCTAAATTCATATGTTGAAATCCTAACTGCCCCCAACGTGATAGTATACATAGGAGTCTGGGCCCTTGGGAGGTAATGAGGTCATGAGGATGGAGCCCTCATCAATGGGATTAGTGCCCCTATAGAAGTGCCCTCAGAGAGATTCCTCTGCCATATGAGGTTACTGTGAGAAGATGGCCTTCTAGAGAAAGCAAGGCTTCACCAGAAAGGGAATCTTCCAATTCCTTCATTTTGGACTTCCCACCCTCCAGAACTGTGAGGAATAAATTTCTGTTGTTTATGAGCAACAGCTTATGCTCTTTTTTTTTTTTTTTATATATGCTGTTTTCTAACAGCAGCCCACATGGTCTAGGATGAGCTCACACAAGGTCATGCTGCTTCCAGACTTCTCCCAGTCAATGGCTGACTACAGTAGGGTATTAAAACTTTCCTGCCCAATTCAGGATTCTTCTAATGGGCAAAATCTGCCTGGGCATTTTTCATTGGCCTGGCCAAAAAAATTGAGATTTTGGCAAAATACGCCAAATGAGGTTTTCCTACCCGAATTTCCTTCTCTTTCTTTTCTCAGGAGTCAGAACCCCATTGTAGCAGAAGGTTCCTCGCATGCTATGCTCTCTCCCCCTTCATCCTTCATAGGCATTTCCCAAGGAAATCTCTTGGCATTTGCTTCTTGGGGGATCCAAGCAGTCACAGACCCTCTGAAGTAGGTCCTACTGCAGATGAAGCTGAATTACAGAAAGATAAAAGTAACTTAGACTTGTGGTGAGGCTAGGATTTGAGCTAAGGCCTTCTGATGTCAGAATTTGTTTTCTTAAAATGTGCAATAATGAGCCAAGAGATAAAGCCATGAATTTTTTTGTTTGTTTGTTTCTTCTCCTTTACTTTTTATGTTATTCTTTCCTTCTTCTATGCCCTCAACTCCCCACCAGGCCCTGAATATACACTTGGCAAGTCTTGTCTCCTCTTCCTTCACAACTCAGCCTGGGACCTCTTCTTCCCTCCCTTCCTTTCTTCCTTCTTCCCCAGCATTTCTTCTGCCTGGGAGATGGGGGACCTCATTTATGTAATTGAAAACAACCTTTCTCATTTTGTATGTGTTGTGCATTTATAATGCATGAAAATGTTTCTTGTGTTTTTTGTACACATAAGCACAATTATGATGTGGAAATTACCAAAATTCTTAATTATGATGAAATGTCAGACAAATGTCAGAGAAATGGGCGGAGTTTTTTTTGGGCGAGTCACTTTCTTTGCTAGATTTCCCTTTATTTGTTCATTCATAAACGTGAGTTTTCTCTAAACGATGCCTGAGGTCCCTTTCATTTCTAAGATTATAGGTTCCCACAAATAAATTTTTATTTGATATCTACATATCCATGGTTAATTCAAACTTTTATGAAGCTATGAACTTAAATATACTTTTTAAAGCATATGGATAGTAATTTTGAAAAAGGCAAGGGTTCAATCAGCAATTGTCTAATTTTTGTGTTTGCAATTTGCACACTTAGCAACTGTTATTTCTTAAAATGCCACCAGGGAACTTCAGCTGCAGCACACGGAACACAACATGCTGAGGCACGAGCCATGCAGCGCCTCTGGGATTACCGGAGCTGGGGCCCGATAGGCTCCCCGAGGGCACCCACTGGAGCTGCCGATGCCCCACCTCTGGGGAGACCCCAGCACCCGCTGCGCTCTCCGTGGCTGCTCCTGCTGTCGGTGCACCTGCCTGCCGAGGTTGCACTGTTTCCCTACGAAGCCTGATTTACAGATACATCTTCCCGTAATTTCACATTGCGGTGACACAGAGCCACGGGGATCGCAGTCACAGAGCACACAGAGTCGCTTCTCTGGGTCCCACCACATGTTGGGCTTTAAAAGCCAACAGAAAAATAAAATGAAAACAAAACAGAGCATAAAATATTATTTAAGAGATAGGAGATGATATTTTCAAACTTCCTACAGAAAGGCCTGCTTGACATGTGAGAAATGCTCGATTCTGCTTGCTACCCTTTATCACGAATAGAACGTACGAATGTGAAAGAGCCAGCGCGAAGGCAGGTGTTCTGGGGAGGAATCCCAACGTGCTCACCATACTGAAGGCAGAGCAGTCGGTACGTTCGGGCACTGAGAGCAACACACTGTATTTTAACTGAATATTTCGTTTTAGCAAAATGGTGTGTCTAAAAAAGTACCTTGATTGGCTTCTCTACTGAAAACGTTTGTTAAATAGAGTGCTCGCAGGAACTAGCTTTTAAAGATGGAACTAGAAGGTGCTTGCTGAAAGCAAAAGGAGTGACATTTTATTTTTCCAAAACCGTAAAGGCAAAGGAGAGAGTATGTTACTCTCTATAGATTAAGATTAAGTTTGTATGTTATTTGTTTCAAAAATATCTGAATTACAGCAAATATGATACAAATTCCATTGCCGAAGAAAAGTAGGTAGAAGGTCAAATGCTAATGTACAGCAAATTTTTTTCTAGTTTCAGAAAATATTTCACTGATCACAACGATTTTAGCAGTAGACTTAGATAATCCTGAGCTCTTCTTTCAATATACTAAGGTGTACAAAACATATCATTGAAAGCCAGTGACAATTTTCCAGGAGGAAGTAATTCATTGGTCAGCTCCTGCTCCTTACCTTGCATTCGTCACATCGCCGTCCCTGCACATTAGCTCTGCATTCACACTGCCCAGTCCGAGTGTGGCAAATCTCTGAGAAGGAGCCATTGGCATTACAACGACAGGCTGCAAAGAAAAGAGAGATCTGTGGCCAGGAAAAAAACTTCGCAATAGTCTTAATAGGCTTGTTAAAGAATAATATAGCCCGCATGGTAACACGGACACCTAAATTCAGTAATAGGGTGTTTTCTAAGTATTGTTAGGGATTCTATCATTTGATCTCTGTAACAACTCTACAGGCTGTAGAGATAATTCATATAAAGGCTGTAGTACAGTGCCTGGTCCATCATATGCTATTGAAATATTAATGTCATCATTATTATTCCAATCTTAAAAATGAAGACACTGAAATTCAAAGAAACCATACCTATACAAGGCTATGTGCTTAGTAGGCCATAGAAGTGAGTCTAGAACCTGAATGAGACTTAGAGTTCCCTGAGTTCAGGGGCTAATTCTGTTTCATGTCTTTGTAGAAACATCGGGATAAATTTAAAATATTGTAATCCCATGGTAAGTAATGCTTACTGGCTTTAGGGCTAAAACCGTTTTGAGAAATTATCAAAATGAATAGCACCCATGGAATAATTATAATGTTGCTATTAATCAAGAAACATTTAATTAATTAATTTTTTCAATTTAACAATTATTTATTAACACTGTGGGCCAGTTTTTTTGGGTTAAGTTCAAAAAATAAGCTTGAGGTAACATAATATATATAACTTTAAGATTAGAAAACTATATATGATAACAAAAACACTTTCAAGTGTGTTAGGAGTACAGCATTAATATAATATTTAGACATCACTTTTTTCAATTTATATACTATCTCCAAAGATAGAAAATATATTTGGTTTAATTAATCTTTTGTCTTTTCTTACTTTGTTATGAAATCTAATGTTATTCTGAAAAATATAATAATCAGTCTAAAACTTAAATGGCCTTTTCAGAAATAGAATAGTAATTAATTGCTTACTCTTTATATTTTTAATGGTACATATAATTGCATTGATACCAGAATAAAAATGTGAGGGGGAGATGACATGGGAGTTTAGGCTATTTATAGATGGTTTTGGTAAATTTCGTACAATGTCCCTGAATACTTTGACTTGAACACAACTTACATTAAAAATAGCTACTCTATTAGCCTTTGTTATTATTCTGTTTACCTGGCTTTAAGTTCTACTTCCTTTTGCTGCTTCTCTAAAAACAGCTTGATTTATCTTCCAGCAAAGTTTGGCCTTCAAAATCTGCTAACTTGATACTTAGTGTGGGGGCCATTGAGAAACGAGCAAGAGCCTAAGGATAGTTCATAGCTAGAGGATAAGAAAAGACTGAAGAAAATACTTTCTTTACATATCCATGTTCACTTGGACACTAGAATTGTATATACCTTTATTTCTTTATGTAAGTTTCTTATGTTATTATATGTAAATTTTTAAAATCTCAAAATACTTAGAATTTAGAAGTCACTTTTTTTTAGAGTTCGGACTATAAAATTAAATTTATCATAAATGTTACAGTAATTAATTAATGTCATCTTAAAAATAATAAAAGCAATATAAAATTTTACAAAAGTACCTTTTTAATGGGAAAGTATGACACAAAAATACACATAAATTTAAAAAGCAAGATATAGTTCTTTGTAGTAGTGTACTTCTTACAAGTCTAGAGGCAACAAAAATAAAGTTTTTTTCTATGAACTTTCTTTTCTTGAGGGTTTACCACCTATGCATGGAAGAGCTATTGTATCCATAAAAATTATAAGAGTAGATAATAAATGTGTTCTTATACTTTTAACTGTAATTCTATGCCAACGAACATTAAAAATCATAATCATGTCTATACTTACAGCAAGTGGTATAAAAATTGGTGATGGTGCTAAATGTTTTTATTTCCACATTCTTCTATATATTCTTAGGACTTCTTGTCACACATCCCTAGTTTACTATAATAAAAGAAGTGGAATAATATCCTCACCTTCATGGAGGAGGTTATTAGAAGACAGGAAAAAAACAGTCACTGAATGATTAATGTAGCCTTAGAATTAGGCTGACACTCGTAACTGCTACACTACTACCAAAGCAGCTAGCACGTATGAGCTTCTTCAGGCCCCAGGAGCTCACTGGATACCATCTGTGTGCCAGATCTTTCAATCCCCACACAAAATCCATGACCCTTTTTGTAGACAGGGAAACTGAGTCTCAGTGAGGTCAAATGTCTTGCCCAGGGTCACACAGCTAGAAAATATAGATCCCAAATGATCTGTTTGAGTGGAAGAATTTCTTAAGCTCCCTATAATTTTATACATATGCCCCAAATCCACAGTGTTTAAATGCACTCTGAGCCTGTTGGAAATTTTGCCTTAAAAAATTATCGGTTTACAGGTGATATTAATAGGTGCCAATTACTCTAGAGAGTAATTTGGTTTTGATTCAGCAAATTAGCATTTCTTAAGCTCATGATGAGAGAGACACATTTCTTATTGAAATAGAGTACCCTACCGGGTCTTTGGTGCTTACAGCAGAAATGATTATAGACTATGTTTCTTGTGGTTTCTATAATTCTGCAGGTCCTGGGACCCACTTGAATAATTGGAAGTATCTTCTTACATCATAAATTTGGCAGAAATTAACTGTTGGGCTGGTCTCACAACCTGTTCTGTCTAAAGATCATGACAGCAGACGAAGCTGATGACAATTGTGTGCTAACGTGGACTTACATTCCATTTGACTTTCAACAACAAGATCTCCCTTACATATTATATGACCACTAATACAAAGGATTTGTAAATTCTATGCAGTACTGAATAATATAGCTAAGGAGGGGAAGATGAAGGGAGGAATGTAATGTACTGATGTGGATGTAACCCTAATTTTGTGGAAGGAAAACACAGAAAGAGCATTTTATGAATAGTCCTAGAATGACTATTATAAAATTAAAATGAGGCTAGTCACTTAACAATTACAAATGCCAGTGTGTGAAAATGTTGTCAGAATTTTACACCTATTATGAAATACAAGGCTGTAAACTTCATAACTGATTAACACCTTCTGACAGGTCCTAATGAAACAATATGGGCTGATACATTTATTTCAAGCAAATGATTAGATAGGGCCTACCTAATTTCCAAATTCTTCTTTCCTGTTATGGGCATAAGTTCACTTTAAAATCTTCATTTCGCATGTAAACAGAAACATGTTTGTCATTTGAAAAACAATGACACTTCAATAATGCAGCAATTTTAAAAGGATTTACTCTATTAGTGCAAAGAAATATTTTAGAATATGCAGACTGTGTATATGCTGCACGTCGATCATCCACGTATTACACAAAGTTTCCTGCTCTTCAATCCCCACTCAAGAACTCATCAGCTACTTTGAGGTACAATGCATCAATTCTGTCAGGGGCATCAATAGCTCAGGACTTACGCTGACAGTTCTTTGCATCAACTGCGTCTCCAAAATATCCATCAGCGCAGCGCTCACAGTACTGGCCTGTTGTACCCGGCTTACATATCAGACAGGAGCCAGACAAGCTGTCACAGCTGCCAGGGACGGAGAAGTCGAGGTTGTCATTGCATTGGCATGGCTGACATGATCCTCCAGGTACAGAAGGTTGTCCAAAATAGCCTTCTGCACACCTAAGGCAAGAAATTTTGTCAGTGAGTATTTGGGGGGAACTCAGTAGAGACAATGTTTACATATTTTTCACTCTACACCTCTCCCAGGATGATGGCTTTTCCTTTTAAAGTGTTCCTTTTCTCAAATGCAAGGTGATTAAAAAAATGTTTTTCTCTAACTACAGTGTGGATACAAGATGAAATCCTGCCAGCCCACTAGTAATTAGATTTCAGCCAGAAAAGAATCTTGTCATTGGCATTGAAGATGAGACCAAAGCATAATAAGAAATCTGCTGCTGGCACTCTAGGGAATCCAGGTCCGTGTTGGAAAGTCTTTGTAGTACAACACATCAGATGTCTCTACTCCAATTGGTTGTTTTCTCTACAAATATGTAAGGTTCGCATTTTTTGTTGTTGTTGTTGTTATTGCAGCGAGAGCTCGTTATGAGGAAACTGGCTCACAAGGAAATGCAGTAATGAGAGTTCAGAATTTATTAAGTAGAAATAGTGACTCAGAAGATTCTTATTAATTGGGTGGGGACTGTGGGTATCTCTGAATTAATAATCGGTTTGTATGCATTTGCATACACATTCAGAGGCAGCTTTTCATTGAAGATTCCTTTCTAAAGGGAAGTGTGAGAAGGCATGCCTGCATATTATGGGAACATGACATAAGGTGATGCCAAACTGTGCCCACAACTCGTACTAACAAACTCTAGGTCTTCTTTTTTTTTTTTTTAACAACCAAAAACTACTTTATGTATTATTGGAAAATGATAAAAGTTTATTCATTTATAAGGCATATTAGACAAGATTTTGAAAAAATTACAGTATCAAATTTTCCTTGACCAAATGTTATGTTTTAAAATGCAACTTAATGTTACACATGCACAGATACATCCTCATAGGCAGCGCCTATTTATATTCTGGTCTGTCTTCTCATTCAGTTACACTTGCTCAAGCTTCATATTAAGCCACATTTGCCAAAGGAGAAACAGAACAGGGCACCTGAAGTCTACGGTAAGGCTAGCTCTGTTATCTACGCCATCTTATCAAAATAAAGTCTTTTGCAGCAAGGGTCAAAATTGAAGGGCATCAAAACAATGTAAGAGAAGATAATTTCTTCAATAATACACTACTTTTATGCTCATCTACTCACAGATATTGAAGTCATTGTGTAGAGAAAGGATCTCTACCATTTGAAATAGAAATGGCTTAAATCCAGTACTTCATATTGAGGATGCTTTAATAACATCACAATTATGGGGTAAAGTCATTGATTGGGTACAGATACATTTATTATTCTAAGTTTTCTAGAAAACTTACAGGTGCCATAATTATTAGATTTCATATTTTATCATAATTTAAAAAATGAGATTACTTACATTCACAAAATGTTTTATAAAATTATGAAAGCTGTATAAATACTGCTTAGAAGAATACTGCCAGCCACAAACATAATTGTTCATTAATTCTCTAGTATAAATGTGTAGTAACATTTTAGTGCATAAAATTTCCCCACAATCCCTTCAGTAACGCTATTCAATAAAGATAATAAGAAGATCTTTTTGAATTTTGACTTGATTCTTCTTGCCTTATTTAATATTCAGAGCTTATGATCACATCCACATATAGTCACATCTCATTGTGTTTACTACTAAGAGAGTGGCTTTGCTCCACTGGAATAAGGATATACAATGATCGTTATCGCAGCAAACGAAAACCTACTATTTTCAGCTCACTTTCCTCAAAATGACTTACTGCCCTCAGGAGAGATGGCATTATATAACAAGATCTGGGAATATTTTTTTTAACATAGATACCAATTAATAAGTCCCAAATTCTCCTGTAATAAAAAAAAAAAAACCTCATTCCAGGGAGAAAATAACTATAATTAAATGAAGTAACAAAAGAAGCATTTGTCTTTTATTTTTTGTTGCAGGGCATGTACGGAAAATTTGTGAATATACATGACAAAAAATTCATGTACCATTTTACTGAAAGCGGGACCTTTTTATGCAGCACATTCATCACATTGCTGGTATATGTGTGTGTGCGTTTCTATGCAGAGAATAATATTCTTAGAGATTTCTAAAATGTTCCATTAGGAATTAAAAAGTAATTCTAGGGTCAGAGAATAGAAAACTGCTAATCATAAAACTTTTATTCATAATAATAGCATTTTATAGTTTGAGCAAGTTAAATTCACCTAATTAAAATTAGTTTAAATCACAGTCCTTTGGACCTTTCCAGCTTCTCAGATTCTCACTCTAGGAAAACGAATTATAGTGTGAAATCTCAAGCCCTCTCATTTTCACATGCAAGGCAGAATGAGGGCATTTTTTTAAAAGATAGTTTATTGAATGCTTTGCTAGAGATGGGCATCTCGACATAACAAAGTCATTGTTCCTTTCCACATTTGTTAACTTTTTCAGATCAAATTACAATATTTTGGAAAGATACCCTTTAATGTAAGATACCCAGCAAACATATGCAGTTGAGTTACAGTAGCTGCTATTTATAACTTAGGAACAATATCAGCATGAATGAGAAAGGGGAGGAGGGAGGGAAGAAGAGAGAGAGGGAGAGAGAAAATGGCAGAGGTGGAGAGAAACAGCAATGAGAAGAATGCAACAGCACTGATGGGGCTTTTCTTATCTCATTCTTTTTTCAGCAACTTTTGGCTAAAATCCATGGCCTACTTTTCCATTATCTATAGTCTGAAAACAATGAAACAATAAAATGCTAGTTTCAATCTCTCTAAGCAAATTAGAAAAGCTCTCACTTCACCCTCCTTCAACTCTCTTCCTCAAAAAAAAAAAAAAAACTCTACTGGGCACTTTTACATGATCAGGCACAGTCTTTATACTACAGTTCATGGAGAAGAAATACACTTTTAAAAATGCAGCAGCAGAACAACTGGAGATAGGCTATATGGAAGCACAGAAAAGGGCAACCAACCAGATTAGGATTAATCAAGGACTCTGTCAGGATGATAGAGCTGAATTTTGAGAACTGAACAGGGGTTAACCTCAGGGCGATGCGAGGAAGGGTTGCAGTCTTCCGGGCACGGGGAACAGTATCGGCAAAAGCTCAGAGGAGGAAGGCTGGAGAGTAACGAGGAGTGGCTGTGCGGTGACGCGGTGTTTGTACTTCCTCCCATTTGACATAATCAGCAAAAGACTGAGGGAGTTTGTCTGCTTATATGGTGCCTTTCTAAAATTGGAAAAAAGTGTCCTCTCTAGGCATATACAGAAAAAGTGAAGGCAGAGTGGACACGGCGGACACCAGGCACAGCACAGAAGGTGTCCTGACAAGAAGAGGGTACGCTGGATTCAAGCGCCCAAACTCCCCCTGCCCTGAGTGCCTTTGTGCCGTGTACAAAACGCACAATCACACAGGAGGAGCCTCTTGAAACCTCAGCTGGAATCACAATTTTGCCAATGATACTACCAAATAGGAACAACTGTTTCTCTTCTGTTATTTCTGTAACCCCTTGCTCTATATTCAGGACCCAAGGGTGCAAGGACACTCAGACATGAGTAGAAGTTCTCGCCAGTGATCATAGGGATCAGAGGGTCATCAGACTTGATCCAAATTCAGACATTTCTGAAGCAGAGGAGAATATCTAAATGATATTGTAGGTGATTTTTCAAAATACTAAACAATTAGATTCAAAGAACTTCTGCATTCTCAGTGGAAATTGTGAAATTAGTCTTAACTTTTGACCTCTCTCTCCTCACCTAGGGATGAGTTGTCAGATAGGGAGGAGGTAAGGTTTAAAAAGTCCACATATCCCATTAAGATTCATGTTGCCCTGTGAAATCCACAAGGTGAACTTGCCGTGGTCTTTTTAAATGTCTTTCTCCCTGACGTATGATACGTTGCCGAGGCTACGAACTTACTCTGGAAGTGACTTAGTGTCCAGTAAGGGCAGGTGTTATCAGCATTTAACTCACTTTTTGCTCTATGTTCCTTTTAGTTTTTCTTGATGCTCCAATGCTTACTTAATCCCCTTTAGCCTTCTAAGATGCTATCTCTCAGTTTTTAATTTTTAATTTTTCCCCTCTTGTACAGATGATAAAAGCCTAGAATCTTAGCAAAGTGCCATGATGAATACCTTCTCCCCTTACTTCCTGACTCTCTCCTTTTTCTTTGTTTTAAAACATTCCCCAGCAAAGCAGTGATACCTCAAAATAGGGGTGCTGTGGTCCCGACTAAATGTTTCCCAAGCTGTAATTAGTGTTCTATATGTGACAGAATACCAATCAACGTTTTGTCGTATCTCCTTTTGCCATCCACTCATTCACTGTTCTTCACTCCCTCAAGTCAGGAAGCAAGGCCCATCCCGTGCTACATGCTTGAGTGATGGGATTTGACTGAGTAGAAAGCAGAAACATAGGAATCTTCTGGACTTTGGGCTCTAGAAATCGTCATTTCTATGAGTGTGGCACCTCCTCCCCCAAACAGAAAATGGGATGAAATCGGAAAGGCAGATGGAGAAATGGTGATGGGAGAGATGTTGGTGGGTCCCAGCGAGGAATGAAAGAATCTGAATGATTCTTATATCTCCAAGAATGGGGTGAAAGTAGTGGAGAGACTTGCTAGACCTGAAGAGAAAGGTAATTAGGAAGATGGGGAAAAGGAATGAGTCAGCAGAAAGATGCCAGGATGAAATACTCAGGACTGGCTGGCCCCACGACATGTCTCTTTGCCCAATAAACACACATCCATTGCCCCCGCCCCACTACTCATGCATACAAGCCCCTGGGTACTAGGAAAGCTTGTTAGAACTTCAATTCAAGCATGAAGGTGGGAAGAGGAAAAGAAAAAAAACTTTGAACTGGCTAAGATTATGTTTCTAAGCCCTCACAGGTCCCATATATAGAGAAAGGGGTCTCAAAATGAAATTAAATTGTGATAAAGAACATAAAGTTATAATTCTTGTCCACCTGAGCTGTAATCTGAGATATTTTCTTGCTATGTATTAAATGCAGAAAATTTATGGCCATGTATGTTTAGGAAATCCTGAGCTAAACAAATTGAACAGATTTCTTCACTACACGCTGCAGGACATGCCAAAACTTTTAACATGCTAATGGATACTTCCCAAACTTACGTGATCACAGAAGTCTTCATTCTAGCAACACCTACAGTTTGGGAAATGCTGCCTTAGTTTTTAAATGCTGGTTTTCTGGAGATGATGTGCAGAAGCTGATCATGCACATCACGTAGAGAATGGTTTTGATTATAAGATCTTCAGTGCAAACAGTATCTCCTCCTTAATCCATCCTTACCTTCCTTCCCTTCTACTTCAACATGCACATCTCAAAAAATGTTTCTGCTAATATTTTGGATCCATTTAATAGGCTTTTTAGCTTACATAAATACAGTGAAATGATAAATCCTAAATATTCCTGGAAAACCCTAATTCAAATTCAGCTAGAAAAATATAGTATCCTTTTGTCTAAATAATAATAGTTCAATATTATTTTTGACTAAAAAAAACTTGAGTTGGAGATAAGCTATTCTATCTGCTATACTGTCTATGCATGTCAACATATTCTTTTGCATGAGATTAATACAGATTTTAGACAGGAAATCATGCTTTCTGTCAGGTATTTCTTTCCTTGGTGATTTTTTATTATTCAAATAGAATTCACTCAAGAATACATGGAACCATTCTCACCTGCATTAAAGAAGGATGTGAGCTGCTGAGGGCAAGGATGGTATAGTGCATCTGTTTATATCCAACATCTAGCCTTGTACCTAGCACATGATAGTTGTTAAAGAGATGTTTGTTTAATAAAATGTAGCATTTTAAATTTAGATGGCTCAGAACTATTGTCTAACACACACAGAAAGTATAGTGCACGAAGCAGAGCGATATAAATACATCAGAGACTATGCTCACCTAGATAAGTGCATTTAATGGCCTTGTATGACAGAGCAGCTGTCATTTTCCAGTTGCTAAAAAAAAAGGTTGCCTGTAGTGCGCTGAGGAGTTAGGCATTTGATATAAATCTGTCTTGGCAATGATATGTTCTCCTATTATTATATAATAAGTAATATGCATATGCCTTTTTGTTTCTTAAAAAAGCACAATTAAAGATTTCCAGTTGATTGATGGCAAATAAATCCTCCTTGTTTCAGGTTTTTGATACAGATGCTTCCATACTCACAAATAGTACTTGTTGCTGCTAGGGAGTGTCATTGGCACTTTGTCCACAGACTGCTAGTTGGTAGCTAAATTCTCTCTGGGTGACAGGCTCATGCTTCATTATCTTTATGCATTCTGGTTGAAACAGGGGTGATGGATGCCAAGAAGACAGGCGAGGATACACAGAAACAGCCCTCTTTGGGGTGTGCCTTGGTGCCTATGAGTGAAACCAGGTCACTTCCTCTGCAGCCCCCCTCCCCTACCACCAGTGACGATAGCAAAGGGAGTATTTTCAGTGCTAAAACCAGAGGGAGGCTGTTGTGTTTGGCAATGCTATCAACGGGGGAGTTTGTACCATTTTTTTACTGAGACTGAATATACAGAAGAACCATTTCCTCAAAAACATTTCAGGAGTAAATATGATGACACAAATTATGCAAGATAATATCCATGGTTCCACTGCAAAGCAACCTAGTAAAATCAACAAGAATTAAAATACTGGTTCAGGAGTAATTAGAAGAGAATATAAATCATGATAATAAATTACAGTTTGTTTTCTATTTTCAAATATATTTAAAGTAAATTATGGACCACTTGCTGAACTATGAACTATGCATTTAAGCCACATTTTAAGAACAAAAAGCTAATTATGAAAAATAAATGGTGCCTACATAGACAGTAAGATAAATCTTAAAGTGTATGACTTTCCACTTGAGCAATGCCTTCTAGAAGGATTGTGGGTTAATGCTTAACCTTTAAGATTAAAACATTAATCAGATAGTCTCTGAATGAATGAAGATTTACAGAGCAATTTCTAGAAAATAAATAAGCTACAAAAATATAATGCATTTGTTTGACAAGTGTGGTGAGAAACTTTATTTCACCTCATTGAGTGTGGCAGTTTCTCTGGTACGGTACAAAGGATGATAATGCCTGTGGTTTTATAACTCCCAAGGTAGAAATCATTTTGCAAGACAGTGTAGTACGTGCTTACCTCTCACAGCGTGTTCCTGTGTACCCGGCAGGGCATTCATCACAGATCAGTCCAAGACTCCGGTCTAAATGGCACATCGGGCTAAAGCTATGTTGATGTTGTTGGAGAACAACAGGGACAAGGAAGAAGCACATATACGAAGTCATTAGCAACATATTTTCATTTCTTTCTCTCCACTACTGCTGTGACAAAAGGGTACAGGCTGGTCATTCTCATCTCACAGACAGAGATGAGGGTCTGGCCAATGGAGGATGAAATGACATTGCTGTTTCTGCAGACGTGAATATAGCCCAGTGGAGAGCAGTATGCCTGTGACATGTTATTAACTGACTTTTGACTGTTCTGGGTCATGCTCATCCGAACAAGTGGGAATGCACATCTGCTTTTTAGGGATTTCCTAGGCCCGGCAAAACACAGCCTCACATACTTTCTCTCTAGCCAAATCCCCCTGAATTTGAAGCAACCCAGAGAAATCTGTTAGAGATTTTGGAAAATGCAGAAGACAGTAGTGGTGGTGGCAGTGGTGGCTGCAGGGGTTCTTGCTTCCGGAACTGCTACCATGGGGTGTATGTGCGCAGGCTGCGGCCCAAGGTCACTCACAGGCATGCTGCCACCACACTGGTGGAATCCTCAGGAAAGCTTGCAGGAGAGATCAAGTGTGGATATTCTACTTAAACTTATAATAAATCAAGTCAAACCAAAACAACTTTGCCATGTTATATCTTCTGGTATATTCCAAAGTTTATCACTCTTTTGCAAATATTTCTAATTGTACTCTGAAGTAAATTAGGAATCTGTTGGGTCTAGGGGGAAAGGTCTAGTCTGGGATACCTAGAATTTATAAATATTATCCAGATAAAAGATTCCACGTTAAGGGATTCTGGTAGCTGTCACAAACAGCAGAATCAAGACGCATGTAGCCTGTGCTCTGTGAAAAGAGAATCTCCTTTGAGAGAGCAGCCTGTGCCTTGCCACCTAGGACCCAAGGGGAGCTCACTGTGGGTGATTTTCTTGGCAGGTGTGTGATTTCTCTGAAGAGAAGAGGCACATGATATCAAATAAAATGGAAAGAAAGAAAGAAATCCTCATCCAGTGATTTGCTATTGTTTTTCAGACACAAAAGAGGGGACTAGATTTTGACAAATCTCTAGAGCGCATGTATACCTTCTTTGAAAATCTGTACTCTATAACTATCTCATCAACTATGGAGAAAGTGACTCCAACTAGAAGCACTGGGTTTCCGACCTGGTGGGACTACAGTGATTGAAAGAAAACCATGCCAATTATTTTTTTAAATCCTGAATCAGTTTATCACAAGTCATGTCAAAGGCAGTTGACAAGGCTTCCAACACTTTAAAACTATTTATAAAGTAGATTTCAAATTTGTAAATATACTCACATGTCAGTTAAAACCAACAGAAGTAAAAGTAAAATGTGCTCACTGACAATATCAAAACTTTTTCAGGAAAAAAATTGAGCGATAACAAGAGATTTGACTAGTTCTTTACAGTTCAGAATACTTTGACAAACAATATTATAGCATTTTCACAAAATATTATGAGTTAGCTGGGGCAGGCATAATTTTTCTTGCTCAGGGTCATACACTAATTTTTAGGAGAGTTTAGCATGGGATCCAGGACATCAGATTCTTAATTTGATGCTGTCTTCTTCCCATAACCAACCGTCAATCAAACCTACTGGTAAAAATTAAGTGAGTTTAAACTTCTAGTAATATAAATACTTGGCATGATACATGCAAATAAAATTTTCTCATAAAATATAACTGTATTTGTGCTTTGATATTCTTTAAAGAACATAAACTGAGGATTTACTCCCTTACTGCTGTAATTGCAGTCAGAGTTATGGCAGAAAATGACATTCAACGACAAAAATAAAGTTAGAATAAGAAATAAACATGCACAACAAAAAGTATCTACAGAATTTGGATTGGTAAGTGTAGCAACTTGACACTGATTTTGGCCAAAACAGGAAGCTAATTGTTTTGTGACACAAAGAGGGAACTGTAAGATCATCACTGACTTCAAGTGATTCCAAAATTATACCATTTAACTCTCGCTGGCTAGCTCCACACCAGCAGAGAGAATGTTTTGCTTCCTGGATTATCTGACCCATGCCACAGAAAACAGAAAAAAGCCAAAAACAGCAGGCATTTTCCACAAATGGGGGAAGAAGGGAAGCTACTGTTGGAATAAATAGTAAGGATCTGCAAATGGAATAGACCCTCTTAATGGCTGAACATATATTTTTATTTAATAATGATCCATTTATAATTATGTATATATGTGTGCATACAAAGTATATGAACATGTATGTGAATATGTGCATGTGTTTATGTATGTGAATGCATACATACAGATACAATCAGTCTTGTTCCAAAGAGAGTTTAATTCTACCTATCAAAATATGTATATTAACATAAAATGATACAGTAAGGTTAAAGAGAAAAAAATGTTAAAATATAAAATAAAATCAAGGATATGTTTAGAGTTCAAAAATCATATTATAAGGAATGTTCATTTGATAGTGGTGGATCAACATATGGCTGAGCTTTTTCACAACTAATGCAAAAGGGAACCATCACAGAAATGATTCAGACCATCCAGAAGCTAAGAAAAAAATAAATTGCTTAATAAAAGCTCAACTATTCTTGATAATCAGACAATAGGAAAATTTCTCCCGTGGGTCCTAAAATTCAGTTCTAATGTAAAATGCTCCCACAGAGAGTTAATCCAATACCCTAAAATAAAATTAAGCGCATATTAAATAAATGTATGAAAGCATTTTGCATTTCTTTAACTGTCATGCACCTGAAATAAAAAAATCCTGAATGGCTTCTTGGGACTGTGATGTGATATCAAATGACCACTCCTTTCATCACTGGCATAAAATTTCCATCACGAGCGTTAGACAATCAGCGCATGTTTTGTATTTGCCTATACAACAGGGGATCAGGACTCCTTTCAACAAATTGTTACCTTGAACACTTGGGTAAGGAAACAGAAACCAAAAAGGGATGCGTTGTTGCAACGTGTAAGAGAGGGAGTGAGGGGGAAGGGTGGTGAGTACGTCCAAGCACAACTGAAGAAGGGGCAGGGCACTGACTGAGAGGAACAGGAGAATGAAGGAAAAACTCTACCTCACGTTTTTGGTTTAGTCCACATGAATTTTTGACATTTCTCCCTAATTTTTTCTTCTTCAGTTCAATGATCTGTGTTCTACTTATTCTCAAGAGAATCATTAAGCAAATACTTACTTTTTAAATTATGTTTAAATACTATGAAATTTGGCTTAATCTCCACAATTGGATTTTGGAATTAGACTCGATTTATTTTCTAAGTATGTCTTTGGATACTGTATTTCTCTAAACGTATTTCCTGTTCTGCAAAACGGAACAATATGATTGATCTGGTAAGGCCTTTCATACTGATAAAGTATGAAAGCACAGTGCTAAAGTAAATTAGAGCTATAATTTCACAATACTTTTAAAAATGTTGCCAAATTTCTTAACAAATTAAGATATATTGATTTCTTGAATGTTTAAGATATTTAGTTAACGGTTAAATAGTTAAATCTGCTTTTTGTTATCCTACTCTAATCCCTTACATTAAAATAACTGTTAACATAACTATAAGTTAACATAACTATTGCCAAATAAATGTACATTTACTGGTTTTTACAGTGAACATTCACAGTTTGTCTAACATTAAGTTCTAGTGATTCTTTTTTTTTTTTGCTTCTCCTCAATGTTTCTGTAATTGTTTATATTTCCATAGCCCCACTGGAAGAAGCACAGAGAGGTGAGTCAAAATATATAGATTCTAATATTGGTTCTGCCACAAGCGAGCTGTATGATCACTATTAAGGCATTTAGTTTTTTTTGACTTGACTTTTCTCCCCTAGTATACGTAACTAGGAAGACCCATCATAATACCCACGTGGGTATTATGTACCCTACAACAATGAGTAGGAAAGGGCTCTAAAATATCTAAAGCATTCTCAAATTTCTAAAGAATGAATGGGATTGTTTCCTTAAATTTACCTCTCGTCTTGGAATGTATTTCTCTATCGTAAATACTAATTTTAACGATGATGATAACCCAATATGACCTCTTGAATGAGCCTAAAAGTTAGCTCTATAAATGTTCCATTCTTTCAAAAATTTAAATTTTTAGCATTCTTGATGTACTCAAAGTAGCAGTATTCATAATGATATTAGTAGATAGACCTTATTGAGAGCCTACCCTCTGCCAAGACTTGTGCCAAGAGAATCTTTGATTTTATTGTGTAACTAATGAAAATCTGTAACAACTTCAATAATATTATCCATTCAAATACATCCTAAGTATTCCAGGGCAGACATTGTGCCCTTTTCATATTTTATTTAACCTATAAGCTATATGATGCCAGAAATTAATGGACATGAAACACTAGAAATATTTACATTTTTATTTGCTTCTCTAGAGATAAATTTTACTACCTAGTTATAGTCTATAGCTAGAATATATACATCACCGAGATGAGAAGGCCAAGCAAACAGTGGACACTGTAAACAGATGATGAAGTTGATATGTATAATTTAAATATTATATGCTTGTCTGTATTCATATATCATGATAATTATACCAATCTATCTCTATCTTCCTACACATTTGATTTATTTAGCAATATTATCTAAGAAATTTGGAGCCAAAATGCTTGTGATCTATAAGATTTATGACCAGAGATTAAATAGATAAATCACCAAGGTAAAACCATCACTAAGCCTTACACTTCACAT